GATGAAATTGTTATTATTTTATCCAATAAACTTGAATCAAAAACATATGGACGTAAGAAAAAAGTCTAAAGTATTTTTTTCATACAAGATTTTTTCTATATATTTGATAGCTTTAAAAATCACATTTGAATGTGATACTTCTAAGGGTCGATGGTCACAACCTATTTCGGAAGTTAATATTAAAGATCGAATAGTATCATTTAAAACACCAATTTTTCCATATCCGGATGAAGAAAGCAAAGTAGTGGACATTATATTACGACAAGATACTCGTAATTTGGAAACATTAGCATATTATTATATATCATCGTGTAATTAAAAGCAATACTTTTTTTTCATAGATCAAATATCGTCTTTCCTTTTCTAGTAGAACCATGTTCAAGATGCCATTTACTTTCTACTATCGATCATAATAGGATAATAACAAATACACCAAATAAACGTCCAGCATATTCTATAAATAGTATAGATGATACAGAATACGATGGTGTTGTACCAGTTTCTGAAAATCCGAATGAACGTGAACAATTACGATCAGAATCAGTGAGTTATATCTTATATTTGTTTTTCAATGATTTATATAAAATACATCTTTTCAATAGTCTCACGAATCATTACCATCGCCACCACCTGTTTCAACAGCCGGTAAGAATTTCTCTTCAGAATCATACTTTATATTATTAATAGCATTTAAAGCGAAAGATAAGGATTTCTTTTTGTGTCAAAAACTTTAATTAGTATTATTCCGATGTGCATTAGTGATGATCGTTCAGATATCTATAAATTAGATACATCGTTACTTTTTTAATTGTTTTATTTATTTATTTTTTTAATACTTTAGCTTCTTTGCCATCAACATCTAATGCTCCAATAAATGGAAACTATAATGACAAATTTATGGATATACTCTCTAAAAGTGTTGAATCATTATTTCAAAAGAATGATTATACACAATTACTTCGTATATGTCGTACATTCATTAAGAAAAAACCTCAATTACTGCATGATGCTGTTACCAATGGTCATCGTGATCTGTTATTAAAATTTATTCCAATTGCTACAATCGATATGCTTCAAGAAAAGAATAAAACTGGAGAAAATGTTCTTCTACATGCTATACGTCTCAATCATGTTGAGATTGTGAAAGTTTTATTGGAAAAAGAAAATGCCGAAGCACTTATTTATAACAAGGATGAAAAAAATAATAATATTTTCCATATAATTGCATCGGATTCAATATCAATAGAACTATGTGATTTCATAACCGATTATCTTCTTAAAAAGACAATTCCTATTCAAGAAAAATTCGATCATTATGATCAAGATCATCGAACGCCAATACAATTATGCATTATAAAAAACAATCTATTATTAACAAAACATCTTTTAAAATATTTCAAAACAAATGTATATGAAACACAAAAACGTTTCTGTGATAATCTTATTCATCTTGCTGTTCGTTTTGGTGATTTAGAAATGGTTAAATATCTAATTGAAGATGGTGAATTAAATCAATTAGGTAATCAAAGTAATTTAACAATGACACCAAGTGAATTAGCGCAATCGCTTGAACGTCATGATATAGCTCAATATTTAAATGTCAAATATCCACCACCACAAATTTCAGAAGATACTAGCTCATCATCTGACGACGATGATTAATTTTCTTCTTCATGTTCATAAACTTGAAATAAATACTGAAACAATTTATATAATTAGATCTTTATATGCATAGCGAATTTGATTATACAAATTGTTTTAGTTTTAATGTAACATCTTAGTTGTGTTAACCCTGTGAATTTTTGTTGCAAACAAGAAAATCATTTTTATCGTATTTAGTTGGTAACTTCCATGTTTTTATTTTGTTTGTTGTTTTTTTTGTGTATGTGTTGATTTCACATAAATATAATGTGATAACCTTGAAAGTCATAGACATGTAACATGAAACAAGTGACCTTTAGCTTGTTTCAATCAAGAATCGAAGTGAATAATATAGATTTGAATAGAGTACAAGTAATGTTTTTGTTTTATATATAGTTGCAAATACTGATACAAAAAAATGAAGTCGTATCTATGTGGCAGTTGAACAAAATTCTCAACAAATGACTACAATTAGATACTATATTTCTTTCTGGCTAGAATAATAATAATACATAAACATTATATTTATTATGAAAAAATATTGGTTAATAATAGAAGACTTTAAAAGAAAAGATGCTTATCGTTTAGAAATGATCATCATATCAATAAAGGTAATTCAAGTGATATTACTCACTATTAGCATAATGAATTTTATAAATATATGATATTATTTTATGATTTGTCGTACGTGCTTGTAAAGAATATATTGTTGTTTTTGTATTTATCTACTCGATGTACATGTATTCTATAATATATCGGTCATATCTTATATATATATATATATATATATAGTTTAGACGTCTATTTTGTATTTAGAACCTTTTATTATCGTATGACGCCATGATAGTATTTTTTATCTTGTGTACTGTATTTTTTTCTTCCGTTCTGTATGGGAAAAGTTTTTCCACGTCATTCAGTATTACAAACATAGATACGCAGTACGTTAATATAAATTCCCACCATATAAAAGACAGAAATATATTCATTCTCTTAACATATCAACTAGATATAAAATTGGAACTATTCATCAAATGGCAAATTCAAATGAATATAGTATAAATAGTTACCAAAAGAGAAATTACTTCATTATGTTTCTTTTTATTTAAGCCAACGGTCAAACTCAATTACATTCTTTACAATCACTAGAAGTGGTAGAAGAACTATCCAGTAAGTTTTTCTTCAAAAAAAAAGAAAAATATAATTTTTTTGAGTATTTTTTATTATTAAGATTCATCTAATATTACTGATTTATGTACGTATACGAAATTATATTATCAATTTCCTTGTTTCTATTTTGATATTTATATGCACATATATAGATAATCTTGATCCTATATATGGTTTAAACTCTTCAGAATCGCTGCTATCTGATATTGACAATGTTTTCATCGATGGACTGGAGAATTTTTTTGAGGATATTGATACGTATCTTTCTCCGCTAAGTGCTGAATATTCTGTACCTTATCTACCGAATGTTGGGTTGACTGAAACTCAAACACATCAATATGAAAATGAAACACTTCATATTATTGCTGAACCAAAAGCATTTTATCGTGGACGATATTCAAGTGAAATTAGTAAACAAAAGAATCCAGTACAACGTTTTATTCGTAGTGAAAGCAAGAATCCAAAATATATGTATCCAACAGTTAAGGTATTTATCTTTATAAAAAAATAATCAGACTAAGATGATAACATTCTAGCAAATAAATAGAGTATATATTGAATAGAATAGGAAGAAAAGTATATAACAAGGTTGTAACTTTGATACATCATATTCACATAATACAAATAATATATATATATATTTTTGTGAAATAGATTCCAACACAATGGTGTCAATCAAATCGACAATTATATATTCGAGTTACATTAGTTACTGTAATCAGTAACACAGTATCTCAACATTATATTCATCCGTATCAAATTTCTACATCAGATAATAGTGCTATTGAAAATTCATTGGAGAATTCACTTTATTTTCGTATAAATGAGAAGGAAATAAATACAGGTGAAAGAAGGTATAAATTAAATCATTGTTATTTTGATAAAATTTAGAATATTTTTGTATATTTCAGTATTCATCTTATTGTAGAAAAGAAGAAAAAGGATGAATTGAAATCATATGGACCTATGCGCTTATTTAGTAATAGTAACAAACTATAGATGAATAAATGAATCATTTATTGATTTTAGATCAACATGTTAATCAACATTTTCAACAACCAAACGATCCTAAAGATATCATTGATACTTATCAACTGAAAAAATCTCAGTTAATTTTTACCATTGCTGAACGTTTTGATAACAATCCAATTCCTGTTTCAGTGCCATATACATCAGTGGTATCACAAATTATGACTGACATTGCAAATGATACACAAAGTTAGTATCAATCATTAAGCATTATCAGAACTTTACTTTTTCTTTTTCTTTCAAGAATCATTTATGATTCATGCAGCCGATACATTTATTAGAACAATTCAATGTATACCACAAAAAGCTGATTGGCAAGGTGGTGATCAAATATTAATTATTATGCCATATCTTATCAAACAAAAAGGTTTATTTTATTTTATTCTTCTTCTCATTCACTAACCACATTTTTTTAAAGAATATTCGGTTGTATTTGATTTTGGTTCATGTGGAAAACTATCTGCTTATGATATTAAATCTTTTGATCGAAAAATACTCTCATTTCGAGCACCACCATGTCAATT